TATTCCATGCCCAGCAGAGGAATGGACAACCCAGGGGCGGGCAGATTGCTGAAGCACCATCAGCTAAGCATGAATCCATCACCTACCAATCAGGTCCCTGAATTAATCACTAAAATTATTAAATGACTTAAATTATTAAATGACCCATCGTTTATCTACTGAATTATTACTTCTTATCTATTAATTACATATCTAATGGGTTACTTATCACTTTTTAATTACACTATCTAGTCGATAATACAATTATTCATCCTTTACCTACTTCTTATCAACTTAATGAAAACCTTTAACACACCATCCCTCCTCCTCGCTGCCCTGCAGGGACACAGGGCGCCCGTGGTAACCACCACAGAATGGCGGGGGAGGGAGGGAGCCAAGCTGGCAGCGGATGCTGCCCACCCCACGCACCTGGTACTCCTCGTGCTGCTGCAGCAGCTGGCAGCGGTGACGGAGGAGCTCCTCCAGACCCAGCTCGGGCTCCCGGCACTCACGCACTCCCTGCGGGAAGTCTGTCACCAGGCTACAGGGGACAAGGGAGCAGCTTTCAGGAACAGCCCTCTGCCACTCAGACCAGGTTCCCCACGCACGCTGCCCACTCCCCACCCACCCCAGGGGAGCCCAGGCAGGTGGCTGCCCTACAAGGCACTTGGTCCCACATCATCTCAGAGGCTAGGTGACTAGAGACACTTGGCACAGGCTGCCATGCAGCTCCCCCGTCACCCCGAACCCCTCACATGGCTCCCCTCCTCCATTCTGCAGACACTTGGCAGCTCTGCTGCAGCTGTTGGGAGCAGGCAGGGAAGACTTCCCTCTCCCAGGGTGAGGAAATTAGGGCTTTCTGACCCCAAACTCCTGGCACCCCTCAGGGAAGGTTCCAAGTCCTGGGTCCCAGGTGGGGAGGAAGCTGGATGCCCAAGGTGCTCTGTGGGGAACCACGTGGCCTGTCTCCCAGGGCCCCACACACCTGCACAGGGCTCCAAGCACGTGCTCATGGAAGGGGCTGTGCTCCGTCCGCACGAGGGCCACCAGCTGCTGGACCATCCCCATGGAGCACAGGGTGCCTAGGGAAGGGCTGCAGGATGAGAAGGACAGTCCCCACATCACCCTGCACCCTCCCCAGAATGTCCACTCCCTTGAGGAGGCCACCCACCTTTGTGTTCAGGGTGGCCCACCAGCAGGTTCTGCAACAGGAATGCCGACTTGACCTTGAGCTTCTGCACTTGCTGCTGCATGGCCCGCATCAGCACGGAGAAGCCATCCAGGCGGAGGAACTGCAGCAGCCCAGCCTCCTGCTCCCGGACGAGGCCTGCGGACGGCCCTGAGGTCAGAGTCACCCCTCCACCACCATCACCACCACCATCACCCTCCCCACCATCATCACCATCACCACCATCATCATCATCATCACCATCACCACCATCACCACCATCACCACCATCATCACCATCACCACCATCACCACCACCACCACCATCATCACCACCATCACCACCATCACCACCATCATCACCATCACCACCACCACCCTCACTCCACTATCACCATTGCTCCCACCCTCAGCATCACCACCACCACAATTACACCACCCCTGTCAACATTATCATCCTGTCACACCATCATCATCAGAACCATCACCTTGGTCACCATCATCAGGGCCTACCCTAAATGTCCTGGGTTCCTACAAAATAGAAACAAGTAAGGTCACAGGTCCTGGTAGTAGGCACCTGGTCCTGTTTTTCCATCTATATGTGGATTGGCTAAGTCCACGGTTCTGGCCTGCAGGCTGCAGAGCATCTGTTCCCCTGGCTTGCTCCCTGCTCCCGGTGGTCCTAATAAGCTGTTACCCATCCTGCTCAGAGTCCAGGGTGGCAGTGCTGCAGGGTTGGATTAGAAGACCCCTGCAATGCTGAGTTCCTTTGTGTTTGGGGCCTCCATCCAATGATGGGGCTGATTCCTGATAGAAATCCAGCCCCTCCCCCATCTACCAAGGTCAACTTCTGGCTACTGGCACCTGGGCCACAGCCTCTCCTCCTGGCCTGTTGCTTCCATCCCTCTTTGGCCTCCAGAAAGGTGCAGAAGATCCTGTGACAGCTCAGCAGGGTCTGGATTCTGCCTACAGCACGACTTGCTTCCTATTGAGGCTGGCAAAAACGAGCACCAAGCTCCCACATTTCCGGAGATCACAGGCCAAAGCCCATATCTGCAGGGCTCGCTACCTCTGCAGGCCCTGAGGGGGACACGAGATAGCCTCCTCGCCTGGAGCTGCTGGCCCCCTTGGGGCGTGGCCTCACCCCCCTGGGCTCCCCTTCCCACACCCCAGCTCCACAACTGGTCTCTCGGTCTCTCCACGTCTCTCCTCTGTGTCTCTCTGAACCCTCCCTGGTCCCTTTTATATGAGCCCATGTGATGGCAGTTAGGGCCACAAAGATAATGCAGGACTCTCTCCTCCGCAGAGCATCCTTGACTTTATCACCCCTCTGGCCAAATAAGGCAAAGTCACAGGTTCCAAGGAGAGGCCACGGGCGGATCTCTGGGGCCACCACTCCACCTGCGGTGGAGACCTTGGCAGGGAGAGGTCCAGGGAGAAGGGGGTGGGGGACAGAAGAAGAGGAGACGAAGTGGAGAGAGCTCACACCACCGGCCGCCAGGCACCTGAGTCTCACTGCCCTCCTGCTCCCACTCAGGTGGCCTCCACGTCTGCTTCCTGGTGTCCCCTCAGCGGCCCCCTGAGAGCAGCCCTCTTCCAGGACCCTCCCTGTCCTCTGCCTCCCCTTTCTCCCTCACCACAGGAGCACCCACTGGCCGATCCCCAGGACTGGCTGCCCCGAGGTGGTCCATGCTCCCCGCCCCCCACCACCCTGGAGGCCTTTAGCACCAAGGGCACTTCCAATCACCAAGTTAGAGATGGTCCCTGGCTGAGGCCCTGGCCCTGGGCCTGGCTCTGCCCACTCTGGATGGCTGACGGCTGCTGTGCACTGTCTAGGCACAGGCCCCAGCTTGGGGGCTGCCACGTGGGGTCCTCAGGAGCTGAGGACAAGCCAAGAGCCATCCCCACCCTGTCTGTGCCAGGCCACCCACACCGAGTCCAGCCTCGGGGTGCCGGCTCCATCTTCACCCAGCCCTCCTGGCCACTGCAGCAGGCAGCCAGCTGGCCCTGGTGTTTGCTGGGCCACCACTTTCCCCCAAGACCACAGTCTTTCTCTCGATGCCTCATTCCCTCCTCACTGGCCGGGGGCCTGCAGCCCACAGCCTCTCTCAGCTCCCACACCCACGCTTGCTGGCACCCAGCCCCAGCGACACACAAGAGCTGCCCAGGCCACAGCCTCCTGCCCCAGCCTCCCTCCACAGTCACGTCTGTGCAGGGCCACCAGGACCTCCTGCCCCAGCCTCCCTCCACGGTCATGTCTGTGCAGGGCCACCAGGACCTCCTGCCCCAGCCTCCCTCCATGGTCATCTATGTGCAGGACCACCAGGACCTCCTGCCCAGGCCCTGCCTGCCTTGCCTGGTGCGCTCTGTCCATCACCTTGGGACCTGTCCCTCAGGACAGCCTGACATCCCCTGAGGGTGAGAGAGGGAAGGCATCACATCCACAGTGACTCACTTGACCTCCCCGGGCTCCGTGGCCCAGCCCCACTGCTGTCCCTGGTCCTTCTCACCCCACTGCTGCCCCTGACTCTGGAGCAGAACTACCCAGAGATGCCAGCTTGGTCTACCTGGGGTCTCCACTCCCCCCTTCTTAGGCAGGGCCTCGGCCTCGGCCTCTGCCCTTCTTCAAAGGTACATACTCTCAGGCTGGAGGGGCTTCCCCCCGTCCCCCAGCGAGCTCTCCCACTGGCCTTCCCCGTAGATGCTCCCCTGTAGGGTCGGCTTGGGCCTCCACGCAGGCGCCCCCATGGGCAGCTTAAGGGGCATGTTTGCCATGGCGCTGGAGGCCGGGAGTCCAGACTCAGTGTCGGCGGGGCTGGTGTCTGGTGGAAGCTGACCGAGGGCTGCGGGCAGCCGCGCTCAGGCGGTCTCTCCTGGACACAGTCTTGCAGAGAGAGGCTCCCTTTTTCTCTTCCCAAAGGGCCCGACCCTATCAGATCAGGGCCCCACCGAGGACCTCACTCGACCCATTTCCTCCTCACAGGCTCTGTCTCCAAATAAGCCACACTGAGGTCAGACTGCCCCCTGTGAACTCGGGTGGGACACAGTCCCCCAGCCCTCCGGTCAGGAGCCGTGGCTGGAGAGCTAAGGCCCAAATCCCCCAGCCCAACCCCCAGGCAAGAGCAGGCTCAACACTCGGGCTTCTGCTGGAGCCGCCATTGCACAGCGCTGACCACGCGGGTCCGGGGGCAGTGGCACGGATCACACGCAGCCACTCCTTAAGTGCATGTGCACCCACAGCACTCAGACTGTCACCAGGACACACTTGGAGTCACTCAGGCAGGAAGGGCTGTGGCAGCGGCAGTGCTCCGAGCCGAGCTGTCCATCCGGCCCCCGCGGCTGGAACGTGCAGGCCACAGCTAGAGCCGGTGGCCCTTCCTCTGACCTGGGACCGCAGGCCAAAAGGTGGCAGCACAGATCCAGGGACCAGGCGAGCAGTGAGGGGCGTTGTCCAAGGTGGGCTGGGCCGGGCTGGGTCCAGGGCCCGAGAAAGCCCTCGACCTGCCCACCATGCTCCAGCCTTGTGAGGTGGCCCTGGCCGGCTCGCCCCTCCCCGGGCTGAGACCAGAGGCTGAGACCTCAGGCCAGGATGCTCAAGGCTGCCACCTGGCCTAGGGCACATGCAGCCTGGACGTGCACGAGAAGGCAGCCCTCAGCCCCTGGGGATGAACTGGTCACCTTCCAACTCCCAGGGGGACAAGTCTAAGGCCACACCACACAGCTCCTCAGAGGGCCAGGACTCGAGCCCACCGCCCTGTCATGGCTGGCTAGGTGGCACGTCTCTGTGGAAGGAGCGTCCCCTCTCCAGCGACCCTCGTCCAGGTGTTGCCTGGCCAGGGTCACTTGCCAGATCATACTCCCTGCTCTAGGTCTGTGCTTCAACCTCTGCTCCAGGGGACATCCAGGGTCAGCGGCCTCAAAGATGGCCTCAGTAAGCCCTGCCTCCTGCAAATCACACCCTATAGGACCCCAGCCCTTGAGTAGGGCCTGTCTGGCCACTCGCTCCTCACTCAAAAGGAGGCAGAGGGGATGCAGTGTCACTCTGTGATTGGTGGCTTCCATCCTGTGGCAATCTCCCTCTCTTGCTGGCCTTGATGAAGCAAGAGGCCACACTGGGGAGGCCCAGGTGGCAGGAAGCAGAGGGAGGCCTCCCATCAGGGGTCAAGAAAGTGAGGCCCTGGTTGGACAGCGTGTGAGCAAGGATCCCCAAGAACCGGGGGAGCCTGGAAGTAGCTCCTGCCAGCCAGCCCCGGCCAGCCCTGGACCCTGCGAGAGCCCAGCCAGGCCCACACAGCCTCCAGACCCCTGCCCGGCGACCAAGGGGATCCCTGCGAGGCCCCGCCCGAATCGTCCCCTTCATCCTGCCGCCCCCTGAAGGCCTGCACCTCCACCCGCTCCACTCACCTCCGTGGCCCTCAGCACCCACTATGTGACACCTAGTGTCCTTTTTACTTGTCACCTGTCCCATCTTGTCCCCTCCTGCCGACGTGCAGGCTCCACGGAGCAGGGGTCTTCCTCAGGTGTGTGCCGAGGCCCTGCACACCTTCCAGCACTGGCAGGTGCTCCAGGGTGTTAGCTAAGCCAGGCCTCCCTGAGTGGCGCTGGCCGCTGGGCAGTCCCTCTGCAGGAGCTCAGGGACTGTCCCCAGGGGAGCACCAAGCCCCCAGCAGCTGGGGGCGGCATTGCTCAGGTGAACTTGAGGCCTAGTAAGTTCCTGGCACCAGAGGGGGCAGCTCAGGAGCTCCCAGGAGGAGGGACACAGGGGCCAGGAGGAGTGTGGGGCAGCCCTGGGGGAGCCCTAATGGCCACCTGAGCGTAGAAGCCCCCAGATCCACCGCCAAGCCGGGGTCAGGAGGGGCCTGGGACAGCGGCACAGAGTGAGGCTCATCTCCACAGCCGGGAGGCAGGGCAGGGGGCTGCACCGGGGGCTTGCCTGGGGGAGGAGGACAGCACACCGGAAGGTCCACTTGCTGCGGAAATCGCCCTGACACTCCCTGGCAACTTGGCAACTCTCCTTCCTCAGTTCTGCCCTCCCTGGGTCCTGCCCTCCCTGGGTTCTGCCCTCCCTGGGTCCTGCCCTCCCTCGGTTCTGCCCTCCCTGGGTTCTGCCCTCCCTGGGTTCTGCCCTCCCTCGGTTCTGCCCTCCCT